CCTTCCCTCCTTCCCCGCTGATTTGCGCATTGATGCGACTCTTATCGCTGTGCCCTCCTCAACATCACGCTCTCTCTGCTATCTAATCAATCGCCACGTATAGATCTGCGGCGAGTGATCAGCTGGTCGGTGGGCGGAGATCGCCGGACCCGCCAACTTTGAGGCATAATAGGTCGCCGAGGTCAAATTTTTCGATGCGAATTGCGCATCAGTTCGCACCCTCAGGAGGTCCGTGGGTTACTCAACTAGGTAAATTTACTTCTTCCTCGACCTTCATTCTAATCGTGAATTCCTCCTTTAAGAAATGCATGGTAGGGGTCAAAAGATAAACGCCAACAATGCCTAGAATGCCCACGATTTCTTAAGATTTCTTATTGACTGACTGTTTTCGCCCAGTATAGCCTTTCTGTTCGAAGGTCCCAATTTTCTATGAGTTTGAACTTCTTTTACTGCTTTTACAGCGACTTCAAGTTATGCATTTTACAATTAGCTGCTTCCCTTAACTCTTTTGGAATCCCAGATATTGGGTGTTTGTTCAAATTCAAGTTTCTCCAAGTCAGATTAATTCCATTGGGAGATATGGTGGTATGCAAGACCTATAGCCAGCAGGTGTAGGAGTTCAAACCCACAATGGAATAAATAACCAGGAGCCGGAATAGATCAACGACAAACCATTGTGGCTCGCGATCCTCAGATGGGCCTGTTGCAAGGAGGACAGCAGAGAAGATCAGTCTCTGCTACTGATCGGGCACTGGGCCGGTGACTCAGCCGCAATGACAACGACGATGTGAGCTGTGATGGAGGTTGACGGATGGAAGTTGTTTAGCCGTCGTAAAGGAGCACGTGCCAAGCGAGGTTAATCCGCACAGCAAATCATTGTAATAAGCTCAACCAACCTATAATTAATGAAAATAGCTTTCTAATAAATAAAAATATTGAGAACAATTATTTAAATTTAGTTAATAAAAATAGCTTTTTTGTCAGCTGTGCACGGGGCCAGGTGGAACTGTAAGAGGTCTTGAAAAGACGATCTGTTCGGAATGCGGACCAGCAAAGTGTTCTGCCATAACAAACTCGGGAGGCTAAACAAAGCAAGACACAGTCGGGATGCCCAGGTTTCAGGAAGCCTGGACATGGAATAAGAATAGCGTTTTTTCTCTTACGGTGATCTTTGCATATTTCGAAGTGCCATTTTGCAGCCTTGGAGCTGCAGTGGCGTCTCCGTCGACGGGAATTCTGTGGAACGACGAGATGGACGATTTTTCAACGCCACACCATCCAAACACTTTCGGGATACCCCCGTCGCCAGCAAATTTCATCCGACCCGGGAAGCGACCGATGAGCAGCCAAAGTCCTCTGATCATCTTCGACAAAACGCCCGGAAGAAAAGCTAAGGTGAGCATCCTGTCCAGGGGTCGCAGTGACAAGGAAGGTCTTTCAGGGTCTTAAGCGCTTTTTTTGACACGTTTCTCTGCATTCTATAGGAACTGATGGGTGGACTACAGAACAAGTCCCATTTTTGCTGAGCGGCCCCGTGAATGCAGAAAAGGTGATCGATTCACCGTGGCGACGAAATTTTTGCATTTTAGGATGGAGCTTCAAAATTTCTTCCAAATAGTGCCAGTGCCAAACCAATAGTTGGTGTAATATTCATTACCAAGGCTGGAGACTGCGCAGAACTCCATCCATTCAAATCCAGCGCGAGAATCACCCCACTCCGAGCAAATATCTTCGATCCTTTTTTGGTCTTAAGGGGCCGCTCAGCGAAATTGAAAATGGCTTCTATGGTCCGGAAGAGCCCTAACAACAAGCAGAAAAATGTTTTGAAAATAAGCGCTTCACACCGTGAAAGACGTCCTTGTGAGCAATTAGACTCGCTTTCTGACTTTTTAATTGCGCCATCGAAGAATTCTCGTCGAAGGCAAGACATCATTGAATACGTTCCCATATTAGTAAGTTTTCCTGGGGGTTCTGGTGGAACGACATTATTGCAAGGAGATGGCACCTAGACATTTACACGAATGCTCAAATATCTGATATAGCGCATCGACCCTGCATTCGAGGAAAATCAGGGACGGTAGTAATCTACCCCAAACTAGCTGTTAAGGAAAGCCATCACATGCCGGTAACCGGCAAAGAACGTTGTTGAAGTTGGAAGTTAACTAGCTCTGGAACACGCAGCTTTGCGACATCGCAAGCAAAACATCCCTCCTCCTCGGGACGTACCACGCCGTGGCGCTATACCGGTTACCGGGCTCCCCGTCGGTTTTCCTAGCGGGCCAGTCGTGGTATGAATGGCTGTCGTTTGCCACCATGCGAAGTCAGTACCAACCCCACAATGGATGAGGGTTGACCACTATACAGTAACGACTACGCTGTTCAAAAAATCATTCATCTGGACATCCCCTGCCTTCCATCCCCGAGACATGGCAGTGGTCCACGCAGCTGCCAATCTCAGCAAGGGAGAACACTCTCTGCAAACCTGAAACTCATCGGTGGATGTTAATTATGAGACTGAATCATTGACAGTGCACCACGGAACGTTTAGCAACGTCATCGAAAGCTGTGTTGAGAAAAGACAACTATTGGTGCTGATGGGTTTGGACTGAGGTTTCACGCGGTATCGACCCTGCGAATTGCCAATGGCAACGTTGAGCGTTACCACTGAGCTATTGGCTGCGCCTGACATTGCATGAGATGCAACGGTCGAAATAGGTCAACCTTGGAACTACCGGCTATGGATATGTAGCATCAATGAGTGACTCGCCCACTTTTTTGAAGTTAATTCAAAATCTCGAATTTTTCTAGAAATTGGCCCCAGGAGTTATTGGACTACTTGAACACAGATCTCACATTCGTTCACTCAAAAACGGCTGAAGCGCGCGCTCCGTATACTGGCGCGCCTTAACCTTATGTAGTGGCATGCAAGTTAGGAAAAATTTCGAAGTTATCGACCTCAAACTCATCCAAAAGCAAGTAGGGCTGACCAATGATGAAGGAATCATGTTTCACTACTGCCAAATAGTCAGTCACAAAAATGCAAAAGGGAAAACACGCGGCGGATCCGAACCACTGACCCCGAAATCCCAAGCCCACCACCTTAACCACTAGGCCACCAGCACGATCAAAAGGCTCACTGCTTCGTTCACAAGCCGCTGCTGCTGAGGCCGATTCCTCACTGTGTTAAACTGTGTGAGGGAACAAAAAACCTCCGTAACTCCGTTCAGCGAATCGTTTGGCAGATTTGGGAAGAAGATTCGAGATCAGCGTCCGAAACCACATACCATGATACTTGTCTCATTTCATATGGCCACTTCGACCCTTCATCCTTCCCTAGTGAGTATAAAGAGCAAAAAGACGAAGATGTCAAGGTCAGTTTAAGACTCTTCGGGGGCGCAATGTGCTTATTGCTACAGGTCTTTTTACGGAGTGCCCCCCCCCTACGAGCCACGTTGAGCCCTCTTCGGGCTTCGCTTTAAAACACATATTTCCTGCACTTCAGTAAACTTCGCCCCTTTCAAGATCTGTTTCCTAATGTTTTTATTTCATTCGATTCGCTATAAAATGTCTTTATTTGTTCGACTTTGTTCGAAATTAACATAGATTTTACATCAAGTTTTCATTAAATACATCATACGACTCACATAGTAATAAAATAATGATAATTAATGCTACGAGAAGTGCGCCACCGAGAAAGAAAGCGCATGGTCACGGCCGCCGTGTTGTGTAGTACGACTTCATGCTCTCTTCGGGTTCCTTTATCGTCGTTCGCCTAAAAATCGATGTTAATCGATAAATCGAAAGTGCTCTTCGCTACTGAAAACTTGAAGTTCAACTGCATTTTCGGACCCCAAGCATCCGAAACACTGTTTAATCACAGGCAAACTTTGAGACTCTGAATCTTGCACCGGCGAAACCAACATACATGTATGCCAAAATCAAAGAAGAGATAGCTCAACAAAGCTCAATAACCTAACTCCCAACCTCCTGGGATGCTCTGTCTGCTTTATTTTGTGTTTAAAATCGCAGCCACATTTAAATCAAATTGGACGTATTTATTATTCGTCAAGCACTGAAAGGCGCCCTGGGTAAATATGACCGCGAAACAAACACAGAAAACAATGGGCCAGTGCACATCTCATCTTTCTGGGGTGGTATTCAATCCTTCCCCTAGGGTTGGGGGACGAAAATCCCTTTGAAATTTTCTCTGTCTTCCCAACTGGGATTGTCCTGATAAAGGGCCTACATTTAATGTATGTGTGTATGTCACAGTAAACATGCATTGAAAATGAAGAAACTACATCGTTAAAAACAAATAAATTTAAAGGGATTTCCGTCCCCCAACCCCTGAGGGAAGGATTGAATACCGCCCCTGAGAATTGGGACTGATACCCCTTAGATATGGAAAAATCGCCGGGCATGACAAAATGCGCGATATGGTACCCCTGGACCGTGCCCATGGCGCTTGTTACAACACCTACTCTATGGAAGACGAGAAGCATCCCGAATGGGTGTATAGACATAGGCAAGATACTTAAATTCAAAATCACGAACCATAAGAAAAATTATTTCGATGACAAATTGAGCTCAAACGATTTCGATTAAAAAACTGGAAGTAATTTTCGGAGACCCAGTAGAAACTGTCGGGGTGTGGATCACTGGGACAGAGAAGCGACTTTTCGCATTTCGCAGCGCGAAACATTTTCCGCTGCGGGAACCTCAGGTCCACCGCTGATCATCAGTGGACCCGAGGTTCCCGCAGCGAATCATCAGTGGACCCGAGATTCCCGCAACGAACAATGTTTCGCGCTGCGAAACGCGAAAAAGTCGCTTTCTGTCCTAGTGAACCACACCCAAACTGTCGCACCTGAAGCGCTCACCCGAGCATGAAATTAGCCTAATCAGAGAAAGGAAGCAAAAGACAAAAAAAAGAATAGCACTGCAAGCACCATGGCAACGAATCGTAACCCACTCAAAAGATTTTCGTAAACAAAAAACTGATAAGGCGAAAAAGGTGCAGCCGCACTGATAGAAAAACACTCACTAGAAATTGATAAGGTACTGATTGGTGAAGCCCGGATGGCCGACGTCATGGATGGCACCGGCGAATATCGCCGCCATTACCTCGAGATCAGAAAAAACTTCCTGAAATTTGAGCTCATTCTTAATCACATGGAGGAAAACCCTTTAAAGTATTTCGTCCTCATGTGTGCTGCTTGGAGCGCTGTTTGTCGTTAATTATACAGCACTTCGATCATGTGCACATATTGTCATTAAATGTTGTCAACTATTTATAAGGAAGCGAAAAACAACAAAACAAGAAAGGAAAACTTGGACGATCAAGTTTGAGAACATCGAATTGGATAAGCTTTTTCAAAAAACGTTCATAAATAAGAATCACTCAGAAATTTTTTTTCTGAAATTTCTGAAATTTCTTTCTTTCTGAAATTCAATAACTTTTTTGCTGTGAAAAATCCTGAAGGACATTGGACGTGGTTTCTGCAAAAGGTTAGCCTCGGGCTGCTCGTTCTTTTCCAATTCTATGCTTTCAATAGAAACCCTCGGGTGATTTTTATATGAACGCAGCTATGGTAACGGTACCTTTGGGAAAGGATATAGTACTTACATGCATCATGTTCAGCTGGTGTGGTGGAGAAATGGATCACGACTAGCTCGCGATCCTCCACTGATCGGCCGATACTGTACAAGGTAGAGATCTGAAAAATAAGAAAATAAATTCAAATGAAATGCCTAGGGAGAAGGCTTATCATATAAACCGCTTCAAATAGTCAAGTTTACTGGATAGTACTACTTCATGGCCAGCAATTTGTATGGACCAAAATTTAAAGACCAAGTTTATTACCAAGTTTCTCACCCTTCGGAGATTACAGAGATTATAGTTTCTTCAATTTTTCAATCGAAAATCTTATCCTACTGCGAAACCTATTCAGTTGGCCGTAACTCAGCACATGTAAATCATTGACCAATTCCACCTGTGACATTAATTGTCGTGGCTCAACAGCAGAGCCCCAACGCCACGGGAGAAGAAAAATTGCTCACGTTCTTCTCAAAATCCCCACCTTTCCCTAAGGCTCAGTTCCAAGTATTGCAGGTTATGTTTGCTGGTTCTTATTTGTTTGAGTGACAGCTGACGACAGCTACTCTCAGGTTCATGATCATTCCTTTCTAATATTGCCCCTTCCTTGATAGCAGTGTATCCACAGACCGGCGCAGCTCACACGGATTTGAACCCGCGCGTGGTAATATGATTCAATCCGCAGTGGCATAATGAATAAATTTGAGCGTAGGGTCTGGTGACGAGACAGTAAACAGCCCTCTAATGAGAATAGTTCCGAAAATTTCACAAATCACAAGCGTTTTCCTTATTTTTTTTAATTAAAAAAGCACCACACGTAGAAGAGACTCTAGCTCCGCTGTGTATTAGTTTTGATAGGAAATTATGATATCTAACCTTGACTATGTTTAGCCGCAGATCAGCAAGCCAGTGTAATCCTTTTTTGTCTAGAAGGCCCAACGGCGCATCGCATCCACAATAGGGCTTCCAGCAATGACTTCGTCGAGCACTTTGCATATACATCAACAGGCATCACTGAAACAACGACGATTTTGAAGATATCGTGCGCTTAAAATGCGGAATCCCTCATCGGAATCACTAAACGGAGCAGCAAATGTTGGGAAACGTAGGAAACGAAATTGAACGAAGAAAAATGGAAAGAAGAACCCGAACAAGTCATGGGAACACCACAAAGCGGAAGACATCTATCTAAACCTTTGATTTTGAAGCACAATCGCCGGAGAAGAAAAAAGCGGCGGAATTGTCACGGCCTAGAAATGAATATCCGCGCAAATGGCACTGACAAGCGACGCCGCCTATGACTGCGTAGCTGCCTGGATCCCCGTATGGATGTGAGTTGCGCGCCTGCCAGACTCAGCCACACCCTCTCGCCGTCTCCAACCTCTCCAAAACTGTGCTCTCTCCCTTAATTGCTTCCCCTCGTCCACACTATTTCGCAATCGACTTTACCCATCATCCAAGTTTGAAGTTCGCCAACCCCAAAAAGTCCTCCGGAGGACTTTTTGCCTGCGCGTTACTTTCGTCACCTGCGTCTCTCCAAACACACACTATTTCGCCCCTGCGCGTCCCGTTATCTGTCGGCGAGCCTGCCTTCCGCGTTTCACAGCTGCGCGTTACGAGGCCTGGGACGTGCAGCTCACTTGGGAATCGACGCAATATACAATGTAATCGGGAAAACTTGCACCTGCACGTTACAAACGGGTTTGAGAAGCCCGTTAACGTGCAAGTTTGCCTACTTTACTACCGTCCCAGATATTTCATCCGCCGATGATGACCTTTGAATAGTGACGGCTACTTCTCAGTAGCTTAACCTTCGTTAAAGGCAAGATTCAGGATTAAATTATGAGGTAATTCCACTCAAATGTGAAAGTAGGGGTAGGAAGTGGACCGCCAGTGGAGAAAAAAGGAAAAAAATCGTGAAATACACAGGAAATACGAGCCTTTTGCTCTACGCTGCGGAGAAGTTCAAAAGGCCGGCAGGGAGATGAGAGATAATGTGAGCGCGGAGAGCGCTAGAGAAGTCGAGTAGAGAGAGCATAGCAGATCAAGTTAGCGACGCAGACAAGATATCGAGCGGTGGGCGGAGCGTGTCGCAACAGGTGGAGCGTGTCAAAGTTCTTAGCGCCTAGCGTCTAAATAACGCTTTTCGAAGTAGGGAAGTGACGCGACCTCTACACTTGCGTACCTAGCGCTTCTAGCCACCGTAAAGGCTCATTAAGTGGGTCTGAGCCCGAACTTTGCCTTTAAGGTTGAACTATTCAGCCATAGCTCCATTTGTTATTGCACAAGATAACGCTGCAGAGGCAGTGATCAAACTGGGACCTTTGAGAATCAGCTTTAGCTTTAATGTTTTGGCGTGAAGTTTGGTGGGTTTAAGCTCAATCATGAAGTTCAAACACGTGTATAAACTAAATTTTGATTTGAACGTGATTATCATTTTAGAATTGTTGACTTAATATACAAAATGCCACTTTACAGAATAGTGTCCCAGCTGATAGCCGAGCTGGATAGCCTGCACGACTCACCCCACATAAAAGTATTCGTCATGGCCGCAACAAACCGAGCGGATCTCATAGATCCTTCATTGATGACCCCTGGACGGTATGTTTTTGCCTCATCTCGATGAACATCCTCACTTTTACGCTCGACAAGTGAGCAAAACTTCTTGCTTCATGATTGAAGATGGAATAGGAAGCAAAGTTTCCAGCTCCGTTGACTCCGTTGCGATGGGCCTTGCTGTCAAGCTTTTTTGCAACCCATACGCAGATATAGGGCGCTCTTGGCCTTGAGGCGGGAGGGGGGAGGGACATTTAAAAAGGGCTTTTGAAAGCGTTGAGGTGATACCAAGAAAGTCCAGGAGATGGGGAAAAGCCCAGCAAAGCAAAAATTCTCATATACTCCCCAGATCCCGTCCCTACCTATGTCCTAGTCCGAAGTACTGGAACTGGCCTACTCGCTCGAAATGTCCTCCTTAAGGAAATGAGCGCTTTGTTAGATGACCCATCTGAAATTGAAACAGCCCTGCTGAAGGATGTCAATCAAATCTTTCAGCTCACTGAGTTCTCTTCAGAATGCAACACGCATTCGCTTTCTATTTTAAGTCGTT